GGGCTCAGTGGTCATGTGACTGGGTGACCATGGTCAACTCAACATCACTCACATCGATGGGCGCTTCACCTTAGTTGTTACAATGTAATACGGGTTAATCAGAGAGGCAGTTTCTGTAAGCAGGGCAATAAAGATAAGGCTAGAAACAACACCAGAATGTTTCCTTCTTGCCTTTCTTACAGGATTATCCCTGTAAAGTGGGGGGAAAAAAGAGATTTCTTCCAACAACCAGTTCTCCGAACTGTTTAGAAAGTTTACAACCGGTTCTCCCAAATAGGTGCGAACTGGCTGAATCCCACCACTGCAGTAGTAGTTGTCTGATATTTGCTTCCCAAATCTTGGAGTCTTAATGTTGTGGAAATAAAGTCTTAAAATCAATGCTGAAAGAGTTAAGAGAACTCTGGGAACTTGAAAACAATTGTTCTGTATGAGAGATAATTTGTTGGGAAAGGTAAATTAGTAAAACAATTAAAGAGCAAATTAGCATAATTTTAAACTGACTTTGCATTTAACATGCAAATGGAATCAGCTGGGGGAGATGATAATTATCCAAATCAAAGAAGGCAGACTGAGGGACGCTCTGACTCTTTTACTACTCTGTTGTAATCTTGAGGGAAATCCTAGCCTTTGAATTCAGGAAATTCCTACTGCGTCCCCAGTGAAGTGTAGCTAATACCAGCTTCCAAGGAAATACTTTTCTTAAGACCTCATAAAGAGAAGAAAGGGCTAAATCTTCTCTTCCAACTGTTACAATCAGATAATCGTCAGTTGCATATCTAGAGAGAGCTACAATTTTAAAAGAATGGAAATGCAAATACATATTTCACATTATGTATGTAGATTGCCAATTTACTACTTCTGACTTGCTCTGAGGGCATATTCATAAATCCATACTTAGCCCTGGTTAATTTAGCCATGGTTTACCTAATTGATCCAGGCACAATATGCTGAATTATAAACTGAGCATGTACCCTGTGGTTCCCCATCATGCTAAACTATATTATGGTTGGCCAGTTTGCAATTGTATGTGTCATGTGAACAAAACATAGTCTACTAGCAAAGGTTGGAGTTTGGTCAATTTGCAAAAGAAGCACTGGATCAAAAGTAACTTTTTTACAATTGTGGGGCCTTTCTTGCTCTTGAAAATGGTGTGTTTATGTCTCATCCCAAAGTGAAAATAAACTTGAAAATCTTATTTACTTTGTACAATCTCTTGGGCAATCTGGAAAAGTGAAAATTGCTATAAAGCCTTGTAATTACAGTGCTATATAGATTCAGAAATAAATGCTTCTTGTTCTTTGGCTATAATCCAAATTTTCATATTACCCAATTGGCCAATAAGATATCTAATATTGTTGTAAATGTACAAGTTTGGAAAAATTGTTACATTTAAAAATCACATTCACTTGCCTTGGCTACAAATATCCAGGTGTTTTCTGCCCTTTAATTGTTGGAAATTTCCAGCCAAGACATGTTTTTCTGTGTTTTTGTGAAATGGTAATCATTTCATCTTTTGATATCTATGTTCTTCTGTGCTCTTAGGTATAATTTAATGTATCTGATTATCATCTGTTTACATAACAAGTTAAATGAATATGTTCAATAGCACTGTCATAAATTAAAATTTTAAAAATCATTTATTTATTTTAAAAGGGACATATACCATCTATTTAGCTAGCACTATTGGGAATGTACTGATACTGAAAATAAGCTCTGAATCAGCCACATGTATCATTTTATTAATCTGTCTTTCTTTTTTNTTAAACTAGACATACCCAATTCCAGCAACCGTTCTTTATGTTTTAGCTTCCAGTCTCCTAATCATCTTTGTTGCTCTTCTCTGAACTCTTTCTAGAGTCTTAATGGAGTCAGTCATTGTGTCAGTCTCCTTCATGCCTCATGGGCAGGTATGCTCAGTTAATAGGGTTTAGAGAATCAGTCTTGCAGCAGTGCAGATGGCAAGATCTTATGTCTGACTTTGAAAAAATACTATTTTCAGCTTGGGGAGAGTTAGATTTCGTAGATATCTTGCTGGTTCCCAAGTGCTCCTATTGTTCCAGTTTCCATCATACCCATTATTGGAATATGACGATTCTGATCCATGTATGCAAATCATCATCAAAAATAACAGTATGGTTATTCAAATATCTCATGTTTATCTGGAAGTTGTTTTAATTGACAGAGCTTGGAGATCCTTTTTATTCTGCCTTGTAGGAACTAATGATGCATTATAATATGTGCTCTATATAGGAATGCCATTGAAGAGTATCTGAAAGCTTTAATTGGCTCAAAATTCAATGGACTGTGTAGTTTTGTGCAAGTCCAAATTTGTGCATGTTTCACCTTTTCGCAGAAATCAGGCTGCTGATTTGCTTCTGGGGGCAATTCAAGGTGCTGGTTATTATCTTTAAAGCCCTACATGGCTTGGGATCAAGTTATTTGAAGGAGTGCCCTTCTCCAGTTACATCTACCCAGCCCACCAGTGCAGGAAGGCAAGGGATGTTAACAGGACCCACCTGTTAAGGAAATACATTGGGTGGGACCAAAAATAGAGCCTTTTCCTTCCTTCCCTGTGGAACATGATTCCTATGGAGATAAAATTGGCCCCCACCATGTTATTTCTTCAAAAGACCCTGATGACATAGTTCTGTCAGTGAACTTGGGGACCCTCAGTTGATCCAAAGCCAATCAAGCGGCTTATTTGATTTGCTTGCAGCCACAGAGGCAGGTGGGAAGGAGTTGGTTTTGGGAGAGGGGGTGTTCAATTTAATTCATTACTGTATGCCACCCAGAGTCACTGTGTGTAAATTGGACAGCCATATAAATTTGCTAAATAAAATAAACATTCAACATCTTTCAGCTTTGATGGCACACCAGCACAAAAGTGTACACATGAATGCACACAGACATTAGTTTAGAAGAAAAGGAGGGCCTTCAGATCCTTATTACTTCATCATTATTTTTAAAAATTCTTACAGAGGAAATTTCAGATCTAACTGATCAGATCAGTGAAGGAAACAAGAACCTTCATGAACTAGAGAAAATGAAGAAGCAGACTGAGCAAGAAAAAGCAGAAGTCCAGCTAGCCCTGGAAGAAGCTGAGGTAAGATAAAGATTTCGGGAAAAAATGTCAAGAATATCTAAACTGGGTTGTAAATATTCAGAATTCTTTGCTGCCAGTAGTACAGTGGTGGAATTCAAATAATAACAATGCCCTAATGACCAGCTGGATAGGCGGGGCTCAGTGGTCATGTGACTGGGTGACCATGGTCAACTCAACATCACTCACATCGATGG